TGTTCAAGAAATCTCTGTAGGCTTCTGTAAACTGTGAAGAAAAACTGTTTTTTCGCTTCGTTGATTATGCGCCCTGCGGGCCAAATAAGCAATTTAGTGAATTTTACAGAATACCGCTTCTACTTTTTCGACATTTAGGAGAGCCGTGAATGGGATCTCTCCGTTTTTTTTAGGATGGCCACACCTCCCCGACACTTACATCTGTCTTTACGTAAGATTACACAGTTTGGCAACGTCATCTCCAAGTCCCTGACATCACTTGGCAGGCACGTTGCGGTGAGTGTGACAAAGTCTGGATCTGTGCTCAGTAATTGTTATTCTAGCCAGGTTGTCTTTAGAATTATTCTGAGAACATTTACGTTTGTGAACTTTACTTTGAGCGTTTCTAGGTGTCGCGTGGTCGCACTGTGCGTACTTGGGTTTCTTCGACTTTTTATTGGCGAGGGTTGCCCTTAAGAGGCCCAATGCAGTTTGCATCCTGATCACATCCAAATACGTATTTTTTTTAATTTTTAGCTCGCTAAACATGAAATAAACCTTGTCGTTCGGCCTAGCTGCCTGCAACAGTTTCTGTCTCATACCGTGCACATGGGGAGTGACATCACCCACTCAGATCTTTGACCACTTAAATTATAGCAATTTTTAAGTATAGCAGTTTTTCTACTTGAAAACTAGAAGCTTTAGTATTATTGGCCGTGCATAATTGACAGAAGGTTTCCTAGTCTATGGATCTGATCAATAGCCACGAGTTCTACTTATAGTATCTTGTTTCTTAAATCTTCATTAACCATTTCCGCAAGGTTACACGTAAGTCCCTTCTGGAAATGACAGGACCGAGAACAGCCGTGTTTGTGAACATATGCAGCTGCTTGAAAGCATAGTTGCGAGCTTTCCAGCAGTGAGATCAGGTCTTCGGTCATGCTAACAGTTTCACCATGACTATTTGAGCCATTTTTGAATAAAGAACAAGAAGTGCAGCTTTTATTCAAACACAAGGCACAGCTGCCTTCTGTGACACACGGTTACATCGTGAACTATTTGGTGCTTTCGACAAGTCATGTCATGCTGCAACAAATGAAGGTGCGAAGTCGCTGGACAGCCACAACTTATTCACCAGCGGATGGGTGAATAGCATAGCAGCAAAGCAGCTTCTATCACAGCGTGCCGTCCTTCTATAAGAGACGTTAATTACGGTGCTATTTAACGTTACGGTCGAAGTAAATCTTAGTCTTTCTTAACACACATGGGCTTTGACAGGATTTACTGATGGTGGTTCATCACGCTCTGGTGCTGCGTCTATGACATGCAGTTCGACTGATGTTCCCGACAGCGTGCCCTCTGTGACTGCATCCAGCTCAAAGTTCGCCCCGTCTGTTTAATTGGTTGGTTGTCCTATGAAAGAAGAAAAATCTCATACCTAGCACCGTTAGGCCTCATATAACAACAAAAGACGAGGTTATTTATGTGAAAAATATCTTCTGTACATCGCAAGGAATTTTCCTTACCTGTGATGAAGTGATGACTGTAGACAGAGATGTATTTCTTTTTCTTCTTTCTAAAGGTTTCCTTGAATAGTGCGCACCAGCCAAGCAATACGGCGCCTTTTGGACATTCTTGTTCTGGTGCACTAATTTTTATTAATTACATGCACACTAAGCATTTTAAGACCACTATGAAGGACACAGGCAGACTTCACTAGGCAGGGTGAGCAGAAGCGTTTATACTGCGATGTCTCCCTTATTTCACAACACCAACTGTAGCACAGCTGCGATCTTCTCGGGATCTGGTTGGATTCAGTGTTTGGAAACGACATGACCGACAACTTTGATACTTTTGCTGACAAAGGTGCACTTTCTTGTATTTATCTGAAGGCCAGACTTGGAAAGAAATTGAAGTAGCTCGTCTAATCGTTGAAGATGTTAGGCAAAGAAAAATGAAAAAGCAATGATATTATCTAAGTAACAGAGACAGGTCTTCCATTTTAGGCCACGTAGAATAGTATCGATCATACGCTCAAACGAAGTGGGCGGGAACTTGTAAGCACATTCCAAGCACTTCATCATTCTCACTTGTACACACCCATCATTATTGTTCCCTCTCGCTGGTGTTCCGAGCCAAGGGAAACATCGCAAAATAAACGCTTCTGCTCGCCCTGCCTGGTAAAGTCTGCCTGCGTCTTCCAGCATAGTGTAAGAATGCTTAGTTTGACCGCGATTCTTACAAATCAGGGTGCGAGAACAAGAATGTCCAAGAATAGCCGTATCGCTCAGCTGGCGGGCATTATTCAAGGAAACTTGAAGAAGAAGAAAAAAAATACATCTCCGTCTACAGTCATCATTTCATCACAGGTAAAGGTACTTTCGAGTTATGTTTAGGTTTACCAAGCTTACTGACGTTATTGCGTGGCTTCTCCAGTGCTACTTAAATTTATTGCGATGTACAGAAGATGTTTTCTGCTCGAATAACCTTGTCTTTTGTTGTTATATGAAGTCTAGCGGTGCAACATATGTGAATGTGTCTTCTTTCATATGACATTCACTCAATTAAACGCACCATGCAAACCCCGACTGATTACAGAGCCTACTGCCGGGCCACGGCCATTATGATCAAACCACTGCAGCAGCATCTGCGCGTTTCCAGCTCTCTAAGAGGCGACAGAGAAACCCAGGGGATGCAGTCACAGCGGACACGCCATCGGGAACATCACTCGACCTGCTTGTTATAGACGCCGCACCAGAACAGGATAAACCATCACAAGGAGATCCTGTCGAAGCCCATGTGTCTTGAAAAAGACTGATTTACTTCGACCGTAACGTTAAAGAGCACTGTAATTAAGCTCGCTTAAAGAAGGACGGCACACTGTGAGAGAAGCTGCTTTGCTGCTATGCTATTCACCCATCCGCTGGAGAAGAAGTCGTGGCCGCTCAGCAACTTGCAGGCCTTCATTTGTAGCAGCATGAGACAATTTGTCGAAAGCACCAGAAGTTCACGATGTCGCCGTGTGTCACGGAAGGCAGCAGATCGACATTCGATGTAGCATCTTTACCGATGTGCAGTTTGTACAGGTCGATGCCATCGCACATTTCAATTTTCGCTCGGCAACGTGCATGAGTCGGTTCCACCAGCTCTTCGGAATAAGACGGGCAAACAGTGCACACATTTTTTTCCGTCATATCACTAGATTAACTCCAACAAGCTCCAATGCAGCAGTAAGCTGTACGCGCTGCCCCACTCATTGACGAACGAGGCAGTCGCTCACTTCACTAGCCAAAAATGACGTCAAGTGCAACCCATGCATTACCTTACATTTCATGCACTATGTATAAACTTTCTGAAGCTCTCACCGTAGGGTCTTGGCGGCAAACCTGCCCTGCTGCTGCCTTGCCCTCCCTCAATGCCGCTGCCTTGGCTTCCTGGGTGTTCACGACGAGTTGCGGTAGTGAAGTGCATTGAGTAAACTCCCAGCGAAGAGTAAAGAAGCACAGCAAAAACGAGCCCCACATTAGCGGTGCACCATCTAATGAGCACTCTTGAAACCGGAGCAACAGCTGCGCCTCTAGCAAGAGAAATGAAATCTAGCGGCTACAGTGAGCATAAGGAGCAAACTCCTCAAACAGGAGGAAACTCTTGTGTTCATTTCTACAGGAGACTACTTGGGCGTCACTTCAAGCACCATAAAAACGGTGGGTAGTATACAGGCTTCGAATCTGCTTGGGATGAATTTCGTTCTAGAGATTCATGACACTTGTTTACACAGCTTTAACCAAAATATAAGAAGTTATCAATAATTATTTGTTTCGCTTTCCCATATTAAAAACCTGTCAAAGAAGACTAGCGTGACAGAGAGATTGACATGAAGCCTGCACCACAATTTCAACCAAAGGAATATGGATTGCCGTGCCATGGTGTTCTGAATTCGGGATTACAAAAGAATGAACTTTTTTTTTTGAAATAGTGAAAAAAACATGACTGTTTTTCGTTCACAATTATGTGCAGTCCATTTATGCAATTAAACGTACTGTATCGAGTGAGGCACACTTAACGTATTTCAGCTGCAACACCAGGATTGTCTGTTCATACGCAGAACTGTGAAATGGAACAAATAAGTGGTGCGTGCCTATGTGTCTACTTGACTTCACCATTGTTTTGCCACCGAGGTGATTGCACTTTGGCAAGATACAGTTATATTAAAGAAAAAATTACCTCTGCGCAGTTTCCTAGATGGCATAGGACACTACGTCTGTGCACACCAGTACATGAATGACACTTTGCCAAAACTGTCAAACACAACCTTTAAGAACAACATCAGAGCAAACAAAGAGACGTAACTCGTTTCAGAAGCTTTAAAAAAAGTACAGCTTGAATGACTTGTGCTGCAGTGCACTACCTACACCAGAAGACACCACATGCACCATTGTGGCAGAATAGAGCTGCTGTGCACTAGGAGTTTTGCGATTACATAAAGCAGAACAATCTGAAGCTTTTACTTCCCATAGTTCTCACTGTGACTGAATCATCAAAGAGCCAGAATGCTGTCACTTTGTTTCGTCTCTATGCATGCAGTAAAGCTAAGCAGATGTGACATGTTTTTTTCTTTCTTTTTGTGATGAACGCCATGTTACCCTTGTATTGAATGTTGGGCTAGTTTGGTATAGCGTGAAAACGACGCTCTCAGAGTAATACAGAAGGGATATAGATTAACCTTGACTAGCAGCTGAAATTCATTTCAAGAACACAAGATACGAGTGAAAAGCAGATCAACATAGTGCAGAAGTGTTAAAAATGCTGGAAAAGGAAACAATGCGTATCGTGCCATGGCACATGTGCTGAGCAGACACACCAGCTCCTTGTCCGCAAGAGACAATGGTGCTTGACTTGTGCATGCACAACCCAATCCGTTATAGGAGAAGTGACACGAAACTTAACATTTTCCGATTGTAGCTTTAGATAAAAACAATAGGGCCAAAAATCTTATATAAAGGTATTGTGGAGCCTACAAATGCATTGAATATATATTTATTATCACTACATTACAAAAGAGCACTTTTGGTTTCTGTACAGGAGGAGCAATTCCACTGTGATGTTAAAACTCCGCCTTACGTCACTAGGACATAGTATCTTGCAGCAGATTAACAGCACCTCGGTCATATCTTGTCAGTCGCATGTGGTGCATACAAACAACACTGAGTGAATTGTTGTCCAGTGATTCCGTCACCAACTCCAGGGTTTTCCGATCCATGCATGACGCAAAGTTCGCATAGTGCACTGCGTCGGCTCGTTGTTATACTGTTGATAACAGTGAGGCTGGCGTGCATTTTCTGGGTGACAAAAAACTTCAAGTTCGAAGATATTTCACACGTGTTGTCTGCCACTGATGTGTGGAAAGCGTCAATAGTCCGTGTCAAGATAACTGAAAAAATCACTGAATATTCACGAAGTGAATAATGACCAGTGGGCGAAGCATCGGGAGATCATTCGGGTCGCCGGGCTTCTACAGTTTCTCGCACCTTAAACTACAGCTTCACTGGTGAACGCTTCAGCCGTTTTGCCGCCGCTTCCCACATTCTCACAGCCTCTGGGTCCTATCGCCGGTGTCGTCGTGCTGCGAAAGTTTCCCTTGTCTGAGGCAGTCGAGTCTGCATGTGAACGCTTCTGGTGTTTTGCCGCTGCTTCCCGCGCTCTCACCGTTTCCAGGTTCGATTGCCGGCATCGCCCTGCTGCTGCAGCGTCCCCCACTCTCATCGTCTCTCGTTTCATTTTCCGGCGGCGTCGTGCTGCTTCGACTTCCGCGCTCTCACTGCCTCCGGGTTCGCTTGCCGGCGTCGCCGTGATGCTGCAGCTTCACGTGACCTTGCCGCTTCCAGGTTCGCCTTGCCGGCGTCGCCGCGCTGCTGCTGCTTCGCGAGCTCTCTGCACAGGGTCCGCCTGCCGGCGTCGCCGTGCTGCTGCAGCTTCCCGCGCTCTCGCCGCTTCCAGGTTCGCTTGCCGGCGTCGCCGTGCTGCTGCTGCTTCGCGAGCTCTCCGCACAGGGTCCGCCTGCCGGCGTCGCCGTGCTGCTGCTGTTTCGCGAGCCCTCCACAGAGGGTCCGCTTGCCGGCGTCGACGTGCTGCAGCAGCTTTACGAGCTCTCAACTCCGCTTGGCGTTGAGCCGCCTTTTCATCCATAGCAGCTGTGACCATCCGTGGCTGAAGAGAAAAAGAGAGCATGCATCCGAAACAAGCACTTGTACAGCATGAAGGTACAGGTATTGATACAGAGAATGCATTGCTTCTAAGGGCGAAGAGTGACTGCAATAAGCACGACCAATTACAGTACGACAGGTGGTTAATGCATTTTACAACGAAGCGAAAAAACAGCTCGAAACACGAAACAGTGAAATGGAGAGACATTGTGCTGACTCACTATCAAGCTTTTATTCCACACATGAGTGTATATACTGTTACGGATGTGATGGGTTCATTTACACTGAAAATGCCAGCGCTCCACCGTCACTGAAGAATCATCATTGCTCGAGAGCATCCTGCTTCTTTGTCTTTCTCGCTCTTTCAGTCCGCGTTACAATTTCCTCCGGGCAAGACTAAGCTCACTGAGCGAGTAGAAGCGATCGGTTGTTGTAAGGCTTCAATCGGGCAATGTGCACAATTTGCGTCTTACGCGAACGCCGGTTCTGAGCTGTAACTTTTGCAACAACGTAAATGACGTCGCTCAGGCACTGAGTAATGACGAATGGTCCTGCGTACTGGGAAAGAAGCTTCCGGCAAAGTCCCTTCTTTCGAATGGGCGCCAGACGAAATCACCTATAGCGAAAGTCACAGGCGGGTGTTTTGCGTCGTGACGGTCTCTCGCGTGAGCATGAGCGGAAAAAGTTCGGAGCCTGTGCAAGTCGACGAGCTTCTTCGGCATAACACAAAGTCTGTGCGACACCGGCGTTTTCGTTCATCGAAAAAAGAAGTATGGTGTCAAAAAAGCTTTGGGGATGATGAGCATACTGAATAAAGAAAGCCGTATAACCTATGACTTCGTGTTTCGCTGTATTAAACGCGTATGTAACAAGAAGTAACACCGCATCCCAGTTCTTGTGATCCGCTGTGAGGTACATTGAAAGCATGTTGATGATGGTACGTTTGGTGCGCTCAGTGATACTGTTAGTCTGAGGGTGGTATGGCGTAGAAGGCTGATACTGGCACCCACAAAGCCATAGCAACTCTTCGACAATGTCAGCGGTAAACTGCCGGCAACGATCACTTATCACCACACGAGGGGCCCCGTGACGGAGTATGATCAAGTGCAGAAGAAACCATGACACATCAGATGATGTGGCTGAAGCAACCGCCATCGTTTAAGTATACCGCGTCAGGTAATCTACGCTCACAATAATCCAGTGGCAGCCAGTGGTAGACTTGGGGAAAGGGCCCAGTAAATCTATGCCAACTTTTTCGAATGGTGATGTCGGTGGCTTAACCAGTTGCAGTGGGCAGGCCAATGGCGTGGTAGGTTGTTTGTGGCGTTGGCAGACATCACAACTTGCGCCGTAGTGCTTTGTGGTCTTCCAGAGTCGAGACCAATAAAAACGTTGTCGGATACGTTGAAGTGTTCGGGCAAATCCAAGGTGCCCAGACGTGATGTCATCGTGCATGGCTTGGAATACCACAAGACGCAGGCATTCTGGCATGACGAGTAGTAGTGTGGAACTATGGCTGTAGTAATTCTTGCGATATAGCAGGGCGTCATGAATCACGAATGCCGTGGCGCGTTCAGAGCTACGAGCCACATCGATCATTGGTTTCAGCCAAGGGTCACGCTGTTGCTCGTGATGGAAGGCGTCCAAATTTGGGAAGTTGGATGAGATTACAGCCATGTAGTTGTCGAAATCATCATCAGCATCCACAGTCGGAGACGGAAAACGAGATAAGCAGTCGGCATCTCCATGACATCGATCGCTCTTGTAGGTCACAGAAAAATTATATTCTTGAGGCTGTAAGGCCCAACGAGCCAACCGTCCAGCTGGGTCATGTAGTCCGACGAGCCAACAAAGGGAATGATGATCTGTGACGATCTTGAATTGCCGGCCATACAATTAAGGTCTGAACTTTTGGACGGCGAAAACAACCCCAAGACATTTCAGTTCGGTGACCGTATAATTCTTCTCCGTCTTAGTCAAAGCACGACTTGCATATGCCACGACGTGCTGGCGGCTGTTGTGATACTGATCTGGCATGGCACCAACACCGATACCACTAGCATCTTTATGTGGTTGCGTGAGTGCCCCCAGGTGGAAATGGCACAAGAGGGGCCCGGATGTAAGCAAATACTTCAGCTGTTTAAAAGCAGCCTCACAATCAACGGTCCATCGGAATTGAGCATTTTTGCGGAGCCAACTCTGTCAGAGGATGAGCAATGTGGGCGAAATCTTTGATAAACCGGCGAAAATAAGAACACAGACCCACGAAGTTATGGAGATCCTTCACCGACGTTGGTTGCTTGTAGTCTCAGACAGCACTGATCCTTTGCGGGTCTGGCCGTATACCGTCCCTGTCGACTAGATATTCGAGCACAAGGGCTTGACGCTCACCAAAATGACACTTTGCGTTTAAAACGAGACCAGCTTGTTTGATGCAATCTAGAACAACGCTAAGTCGATGGTTGTGCTCGTGCAATGTCTTGCCGAAAATAACTACATCATCGAGGTAACACATACATATCTCCCATTTTAGACCGCGAAGAATGGAGTCCACGAATCGCTCGGAGGTAGCCGGGGCATTACATAAGCCAAACGGCAAAATGTTTAATTCAAATAACCTATCAGGCGTGACAAAAGCAGTCTTCTCTCTGTCGGATGGATGCATCGGTATCTGCCAGTATCCAGACCTTAAGTCGACAAACGAGAAGTATGCGCCCGAGTGCAGACAATCATCAGCATCATCGATGCGTGGGAGCGGATACACGTCTTTCTTTGTGATGGCATTGAGACGGCGGCGGTAGTCTACACAAAATCGCCAAGAGTTGTCTTTCTTTTTTACCAATATAACAGGAGCTGCCCAGAAACTGCCTGACTCTTGAATAACACCTTTCTGCAGCATTTCGTTGACCTGATCAGCGATGACTTGCCTCTCTGACTGTGATACGCGATAGGGTTTCTGACGTATCGGTGTAGCATCTCCCGTGTTGATGCGGTGGTGCGTACGGGATTCGGGCAACATGGAACAACGCTTGTCTTGAGCCAAATCAAAGACTCCCGCGTAGCGCGTAAGCACCTCCTTGAGGACATGCTGCTCGGAAGAAGGCAACGACTTATTGATCATGCGTTTCATCTCGGCTGAGTAGTTGGGCGCAGTCTGACTGGTGGCTGGAGAGTCTGAGCCCATTCTGACCTCAACTGTGGCCTGTTCCTCAAACGTTCCCAGTTTGAATCTGGCTGGTAGAACAACAGGCTCTGAAGCTGCACTGAGTGCCCACAAACAAGCATGTCCGTCAATGGCTGTAAGGACAGACCGTGGGACCAGCACATTCTTCTTGATGGTGTTTGTATGATCAGGCTCGACAAGTCCAGTGCAGGGGTCCTGAGCGGACGTGAGAAGAGCCTACGGGAACAAGCGCTGCTGTCCGACCAAAGATCGTCACATCTTCAGACAACGAAAGCGCATCGATGGGCAGAGTCGAAAAATCATCAACCATGGCAGCAGGCAGCGTACTTTGTAGAAGAATCTCTCCAGTTCCACAGTCAAGCATAGCACCGCATTCATGAAGGAGGTCTATCCTTAAAATGATGCCATTAGTTGCCCGAGCCAGCACAGTGAATTCAACTTGGAAATTTTGTCCACCAATCGCGAGTACAACTGAGCAAATACCAACATGGCATAACGCTTCGCCTCCAACTCCACGAAAAGTTTCTTTACGATCCCACACGAGGCCCAAGAAACGATGCTTGAAACGAAGACTCATAACTGAAATAGCAGCACCAGTGTCTATAAGAGCAAGATTATCTACACCATCTATACACGCACACACTTTGTTCATCAACATCACAGCAGAAGGAGGAATTGGCGAAACTGACCGTCCCGCGACCGCACCTCCATGGGTCGCACCAGCTAGTTTCCCAGCAGATGCGGGAAAGGCGACCGACGACACGGAGACAGCGACCAGCGGGGACATGTCGGAGGGGGCGTCACGCTTCACTCGGAGGCGGGGGACTTGCTTCAAAATTCATTGGGCCATTGCTGTCGGGGACGATGGTGGGCCGGGTGAGAGGTTTAGATTTCGTGCATACGAGGGGGGTTTGTCGAAAAACGTGGCAGCACAGGCGTTTCGTGCATACGAGCCGAGTACGTCGATAAACGTGGCGACGCAGGTGGCCGGCTGGGACAGAAGCGTGAAATATGCTGTGGGAGACCGCATGTGTAGCAAACGGGGACTTTTCGGCTTACATTAGCAGGAGCAGAGGTGGCAGAAGTACACGGAGACAGGTCGTTCTCTGCAGGAACATTTCGCGATGACGCATAGTAGTCTTCTGATAGAGGCCTGGTTGACGATGTTCGGAGATCTGCAGCGGCCCGCCAAGATGATGACATGCGGTGGTGGCCGTGATCCAGTCGGGAAAAACGGAAGCCGCGGGGTGAAATCTGCTGTTTCTGTGCGCTGTCGGTTTTCGACGTGGCGTTCTCGCATCTAGTAGGGAGGTGGTTCGGGGCACGCGGCGAACGAGCATTGGTTGTGAGCGTCACCTACTTGAAGCCGTACGAGCTCTTCTCGAACTACCCGACATACCAGGAAGGGAATGTCTTCGCAGGCGCCGACGTCCATACTTGCAACAGTGGAAATATTGCCCAAGCGCCCGAACTTGGGTAAAATTCTCCGGGTTTTCAACCTGATAATCCCGCAAAGCTTCAATACCTCTTCAATGTAGGTTGTGCACGTTTCGCCGGGCAACTGAGCCCTACGTGACAGCCTTTGCTCAGCTTTCTTTTTCGTAGAGGTAGTGTCCCCAAAGCAGGCCTTCAGTTCTTCAACAAACATATTCCAAGTGGTGAGGACATGTTCATGGTTCTCAAACCGAAGCAAGGCAGTCCCGGCAAGAAAAAATGCTACGTTCACGAGCTTCGCCGGCGCGCCCCATTCGTAGTAGCGGCTCACTCTGTCGTAGTGTTTTAGCCAAGCATCCACGTCTTTGTCAGTTTTACCTAAAAAT